AACAAATTGCAATGGAAACCAGGAATTATACGCACCGACAATGGAGGGTAATACATCAGTAAGGAAGTGGAATCATATCTGAAGAAACAGGGTATAGTACCCCAGACCACCACACCATACACTCCTGATCAAAATGGTGTAGAGGAACGGAAAAATTGCACTCTTATAGAAATGGCCAGATGCATGCTGCCAGATGCCAACCTATCTAAGAAGTACTGGGGAGAAGCAGTCATGACTGCAACGTACCTACAGAACAGATGTATATCGATGGGGGAGCCATCCGCACACCTTACAGCAGTCCCGGCCAACAAGAGAGATGGTGCTCGTAGTGATAACCACGGATGGCGCCATGCAAACACAGAACAAAAAAAGCAGATCACCAGCACTCAGTAGTAAAGTTGAATATGTCCCTTTAATTGGACAAAGACGTCACAGTGATCAAAAAAGCCGACGTTTCGGGACCGCGCAGGGTCCCTTCCTTAAGGCAGAAAGACTTAATGTCCTTCTAAGCAATTAAAACTTAATTCAGCATTCCTCAAGACCTCAGTGCTTCATCTAAACACATAACCAAAATGGCAGGCCTGCACACTGCAGCAAAGGTTTTTCCTTAACCTGGTGCCCGGGGCTAAGCAGACACTGGCAACTAGTGTTTATGTTTTCTCGGCGCTGGGAGCAGAGGATTTTCTTAACCCGGTACCCAGTGCTAAGCAGACACTGGCAGCTAGTGTTTGTATTTTGTCAATACTGTAGTTGGGCTGGGAGAAGAGGCTTTTTTCACATGGTGCCTCACTGAGAAGGCCATGCATGGGAGCCCAGAGGGTCACATGTGTCCCTGGGGCTGTGTGTTGGGCACCAGGGCATTAAGGAAAGTCACCTAACTTTTCACTTTCTGTCCTGGAGATACAAATAGAATTCAGAGATAATTATTTCTGTTTGGATTTGGGCATACCTTTTAGCACAAAGACTGCATGATTCAATTTCCAGTTATTTCTCCATTTATGATACCAGCATACTGTATTTTGTAATAAAACAGCACATTAATCTCTAGAAAGCAGTCTTTGAGCTCCTGACACATGACTCTGCCTAGGGGTGAGAGAGGCAGTTTGACAGATTGACCTCTACCCCAGTCATCACTTATATGGACTGTACATTGTAACTTTGCAACACAAATATGGAGACAGCTATTGGAAGCTGTGTGGAATACAGTATGTAGTAGCAGTTAAGAAAATACATGCTATTATACAGACAGTAGAATATTCATGGCTTTGTCATACATGGCCCAGTATAGACCAACAAATAGATGCGGACACTTGATGATGCCTGTGTAAAAATGATGCTGGCCTTCTTGGGAAAATGACAATGAAAGCATTGTCAGGGGGTATAGTGCAATCTTATGAAGAGTTAATAAATACCTGTAAGTGTTACAAAGTGGTAAGCGCTCATGCACATAAAATGAAAGATTGTATCTAAAACTAAATCAGCTTTGGCATGAAAAAATCTCTTTGATACTCAGTCCTCCTTAAGAATGGAAGGCTTTTTTTCCCCAACAATATACTTTAACAACCCTAATATAGTTTAAAAAGGAATTACGTATATGGTTATTATCAACTGTATAAAACTAAATAGCTGTAAAAGTTCCAACAGTTTGCATGCTAGGACATGAACCGTGCACTATAATTAAGATGTTTAAGATTTTTGATCATTAACTTCTATTAAGAAAACAACCTCTAGAAAAAAATGACTGTAGATGAACCCTTTGTGCGCATACAGTAAAGATATTTGTACAAATCTCTGTTTAAGTAATCTGTTTATATGTTTTGAATTATGTTGATAATTTTAAAAACATGTTATGTAGGTCTGATTCTTTTGAAAGCAGTTAGAATTGTTTTATGTGGAAGGGAGAACACCATTCTGAAATATGCATTGCTGAGAAGGAGCGAGAATAAAACTCAGAGCTGAACATTTTACCTGCAAATTCAGGTAAAAAGGGTTGATCTGTGTTAGAGAATCAGAGATTCTATTTCAGTGCTAAATTTATTCTTGGCACTGAGATTCTAGCACAGGTGGTTTTCATCATGGGGCTACCAACATGGAGAACAAATGGAAACTCTACAGCTCCCTACACTAAAGAACTGGGACTACCGTAGCCCTCCGCCAATCACTGGGGATCCTACCAGTCATTAAGGAGTCCATGTAAATTGTATCCCTCCTTTACCTGAACACTAAGCATTTATCCACCAAAACAAGCATGTACCAATTACCCCTTCCCAACACTTAACCCCTAACCTGGTCCTTTTTTGTATATCAGTGGTGCTGATCTCCTCCAGCCTTCTTCAGTAATTTCCTTTCTACATGTACTCTCTTTATTGTCATTGCTCTGGTACGCCTCCCTAATATAGACAATGGTGGACCATGCCTGTGCACTTTGGTTTGGCACAGCCGCTTGCAGATTCTTGACAGGACAACAAATTGGGTGATAAATTGTCACCCCATAACAGTAAATGCCTAAAAAAGGGGCCTTCATGGCCAGGGCCGGATTTACTCCCCCTGCCGCCCCAAGGCCAGGTTCCACAATACGCCCCCC